CCTCACACCCTGCTACAGATGACTCCCCAATCCCCAAGCTGAGGCGTGTTGTTTATCTCGTTGCTCCCACCATCAATTCCAGTGAAGGTGGCATAAGCTCCATCAGCAAGAGACCTCTAACACACCCCCTGGTGACGATGCAAGGCCTGTCGCTAATGAAAAGCCCCATATGGCCATGTTGCCCCCACCCCCTCCCCCCCCAACATGGGCAAACTTTTCGCTAAGAAATGCCCAGGCTTCCTCCCCGTCTGTACGGGAGGAGCGATGGATCTGAGACTCATTTATCTGCCTCGCCGTCTGGGGAGGGCAATATGACTGTGATGTCGCTGCCTCCACCATCACCATTATGTTAAAGTCGATTATGGCTGTGTTCCTGCGCTGTGTCCTAGTGGTGAAGCTAGGTATTACCATCTCACTCTGTTTACAAATAAAGAATGAATAAAATAAATCCCATTACTGGCTTATCGGGGTAACTTGTAGGATTTAAGGTACCACAGTTTAAATGGACTTCATATTCGTTCACTTACATTTTGCCCAGACTACCTGAAATCCGACAAGTTACCCCGATATGCCAGTAACCCCGCTTCATAGTACAGGCCACTGGTCTGCTGAGTAGCCCAACACTGTCTTCTGAGTCAATACTCATCATTTTAATGAGAATTTGTTCATCCACTGTGTTTTCGGGGGTCTGAGGAGGGTTTAAGGATTATATTGATTTGTATTAGTGAAGACGGGTGGCATTTGATGAGAGCCGCGAATTTCCGCTGGGGACAGTCAGGTGAGGACAGGTGACTGGCCGGACAGTCAGGTGAGCCCCAACATTCGCATAGAGAAGACATCTGCTCCGATCGGTCTGGGAGAAATGATCTGATGACAGGGCGACGTGAAGTGAAGCCATCGATTCTTCCTGCTCAGATTTTTCGTGTGTATTTTTCTTGGCGGTTCGTGAACCAGTACGCCGTGCATGTCCGGCGGATATAATGGCGAACCTGAGAGGGAACTTCTCTAGGTAAACGCCTGGTCTGGGAAGCTCAGAACAAAACACAAACAGTGCACGAAAAACGATGTTCCTTCAGGATGGTTTTGTGTGAAGCACTTTGGCAAAATGTCAGAGAGATGAAAATGGCTCCAAGCAAAGCAAAAGTTTACAAAAGTGAAAACGAAAGCACCACATCCTTCTTCCATTACCAGTGCAGGGATTGGGGTGAGCCTGGAGCAATCCCAGCATGCACTGGGTTCAAGGATGCGAGTACAGCTTTTAATTAACGTACCATTTGAAATGTGCAGACATTGATAAATCCATCTTCCAACTGCTGATTCTGTTCAAGGTAACAAGGACAATCACTGACAAATTTTATGAATCGGTTATACAACAATTGACATATTTTCGGGTGTCACGTTAGCCTGATGAGTTAATCAGTAAGGTTGTAATGCAGAGCTCTTTGTTTTTGTTTGCGACACGCAGAGATGGTGATGAGCTGAAGAAGTCCTTTTCCGAGCTCGCCGACAACAAGACGGACAGCGCGAACACGAAGAGCATCAGCAGCGGTAACCCCTTCCTGAGCATTTCGCACGACCCCAATGCGGCCGTCTACAAAACCGGCTTCCTGGGGCGCAAGATCCACGCCGACATGGATGGCAAGAAGAGTGAGTCTCCTTCACTCCTGCCGAGCTCCTCCAAGCTACTGCTCCTACTCAACCGTAAAACCATTCACCGTTTGAGAATAACAGTGTCTGATGGCCAGAATTCACTCTACTTCTGGAGCAGTCGAACATATTGCTGTTGGGTTAATCAGTATATGATTAATGTAAATTTTTGCCATAGTGAGGAAATTAGATTCAAACGCACATTTATTCAAAACGGCATCAGTAATCTTATGTTCCTTGGTAATGGATGATGTCACAGACATTAAGTACCATATATTATTGCTCATTTAACATAATAAATGTGAATGATAGATTATACACAACATCCCTCATAATGCACAGTTATCGATCCTACCCAGCTGAAGAGTCTTTCTTTATTGTTTGTCATTAACAGGAACACGATTAGCTTAATATCCATTCGCCTGTTGTGTGGGTTCGTTACCGTGGGAATGCGGAGCAGCAGGCTGCCGGATATGGCGTGCTGCATGGTGCCGCTGTGGCGTGCCGTGACGGGCACTAGCGTTTGCGACCTGCGGCCCCATGCCTCCATCTTCCTGTCAGCTTTCATATTAAATCACCACAGAGCCCCCAGGATGGGAGGGGGACTCCGTCACCCTCACAGGCGGGGTACAGCACAACTCTGAGAGGGGCAAATAACACAAGGCAGGCAGTTGCTCCCTTTTGCTGCCCCTGGGAGCTGCCTGGGGTGTCACAGTTTGGGGGGGGGGGGCAGTACATGAAAAAATGTAGCTTTTTTAATTAATCATATTCCATCCGCCCATATATGTTTGTTTATTTGTTTATTTCCTTAATTTTCCATAATTGTTTTTCAGAATAGGCTATGTATGTACTTTGCATTTTTTTATTCATCTGCACCATGTTTACTTGTCTGTTTTGCACTAAATGCCTGCTTGTCTGTGCTCTGCTGTATGCACAAGAATTTTCATAATTTAATCTGTTATGAGAATGAGCTGCTTGCCTGGACAGCTAGTCAGAGGCCAAACGAGGGTCACTTCATCTCATCCTAAGTTGTTACTATGGAGCCTGTCCCTAAAGAATTAGCTAAATTGCTCCAGAAATGAAACGGTGCACTAGTTGAAATAGTGTTAACTTGTCATGTTAACTTACTGTTTACCTTTCAGGAATGTGGCTGCATCACCATTTTGAATGACAAAATTTTAAGCATTTTTCCTATGATTAATTGGGAATTGCAGTATTAGTGTGCCTATTACGTCAAAAAAAATCCATCATCCAAAACATTAAAAAAAAAAAAAAATCAGTTGCAAGCAACAGATCATGAGCTTAAAATACAGAAACCATCCAACTGCCTGCTGTGTGTGTATGAAATTTTTAGCCACGTGTGCTATTTCAGGTGTAATAAATCCTCTTTTTTTAAGCAGATTGGACCTCATTGTTATGCCAGTGCACTGAAATAGCGTTTTGGTCTTTCTCGAGTTTGTAGGCAGTGGAGGTAGCAGGACCAACAAGGGGAAAGATGAACAGCACGTACTTACTGTGGGTCGAGTTTTTTAAGCTTTAATAATCGGGAAGTGGAACGACCTGGAGTAGCAGGAAAACAATCTGAGTAACGTGAACTCCTATGGAGAAAATTAAGCAGAGTTGCTAACAGCTGCAAATGGGGGTGGGGGGGATTGGCTTCACAGGCATTTACCTCTTCGGTGTGACGATTTCACCACGTTAAGGAAGGACCCTGCTGACTTGTTGGTACAGACCACACGTGCTCCTGCTAAAAACTGCCATCTATTACAGTCACTTCCTGTGGCAGCATCCTGAAGGTTTTTAAGCGCAGTTTGGATCTGAGAGTAGATCAGAGTAATAACTGCCCTCTAGTTAAAATAGTGTCTATGGGCCTATTAATCTTACATGGCCCACAAAATCAATTTGTGAAGTTTTCATGGAAGAAACCTTGTTTTCGTGTGCACGTGGAGTGGATTTTTACTTAACTGATGTAATTTGCTGCCCATGGGTAGAATAAAAATAGAAAGCTTTTATTGTTATTGTACTGGTAGAAAGAATACCTGGTATCTGTATATCCCATCTTGCTGTCCTAGGAGATTCTCGCATACAGGTGAGAGAGAAGCCTGGGGTCAGAGTCCAGGGTCAGCCATTTTCCCAGTACCCCTGGAGTAGATTTGAGGTTTAGGATCTTGCCTAACAGACCAACTGTGATTATAATTACTATCTCACCATGGGATTTGAACCGACAACCTTCTGGGCACAGACACAAAATCCAGACCCGCAGAGCTGCACTTCGCCCCATGATCCTAAATAAGAGAACTCCATGTTTAAGACACTCTGCAAGGTCAATGTAATAAAAGACTGCAGCGATGCCAGCTCATGGCATTGCGTGTGGCAGGAAATAGAGGCGGAACGGGCAGGCAGATGGCACCAACGCCACCCGTTCGTTCCTTCGCGAAGCCCGATAGATCAGGTCCGTAGAAACGGTTTCTACAGCCACCGTTGTTACCAAGTTCATCTTCCGCACGTTGCCATAGCAGCATGTCTCTGAGAATGGTATTGCCAGAATTTGTTAGCAAGGGAGAACTGAAGTTCTGAAGGGCCCTTTAATATAGATTTCAAGTCCTCTATCCCACACTAAAGTGCTTATGTGGCCCTCTCTAGGTAATGGGCCAGAGTCAGAAATCCTCAAACTGGCATTGTGACGTCTCAGCCTTCCCAAGGACATCCTGCCTTGGGTTCTTTGTTGAGCATAAGCACCCTACTGGATATTTGTGTCGGAAGGTGGTTGTGTTCATGTCAAGTCAAGTGAGGTTTTAATTGCCAATGTAACCTTAACACAGACGCATTATTTTTGCATGACGTTAAACACTAGGTGGTTTGTACCAAGAAGGGATGTTACTGCTTTAAATGCTACCTCATATCCTGAGAGAGGGCATCCCCTGGAACACAATTATTTAGTCAGCGTTGTCATGTTACGATAATGCATGAAAACCAGGGTTGATGTATTTGATCCTGCAGATCAGTGGATGTAGCTCAAGGCCCTTTTTCTCCTCACATGTGCTCGCGTTTTGTGTTTTTTGTGACTGATGTCCCGTTTTTCTTCTTTTTAGCACCGAGAGGGAAGAGAGGATGGAAAACATTTTATGCTGTTCTCAAAGGAATGATCCTTTACTTGCAGAAGGTAAGGAATCATGTGATGGTAAAATATTAAAGAGGAAAATGGGTAACAGGTTGTCTGCTTATCTAGAATAAAAAGGCATCAGCGACATCTGGCTCCTTCCAGATCCCCATAACTAATGTCTTTGTTTGACCGATTGTCTGCTTAAGGCAGCCAAGTTTTTAGGGCATTATGGCGTTTTTAGGGGGCTGTTGGTCCGTCTAAGTATGGCCTCCTATAGGCTGATCTGTCTGCAGTCCTTCTAATAAAGGTCTCTGCTAGACATGCAAAAAATGTTGCATTTATTGGAGGCTTTGCTCGGGTCTCCAGGGACGCACTCTCACGCCACACCACTTTGATGCACATGAATTTCTGTCTCTTTGCCTCACACGTTATTCCACTCAGCGGGTAATCTGCCGTCCCGCCATTGCAGCGGTGACAGGCCGTAAAATCACGATGTTAACTTGGACTTGAAAGGCTAAGGCACCCCCGTACAAAGACCAATTAAAATAATTATCAGAGGCCTGTTACGCCTTGCTCGGAGAACCTCTAATTATCCAACACTGTCCAGAACCTCTGGTAGCTGCACTTTCTGTTTCCAGCCTCTCTATCATGCACCTCCCACCCTCCTTTATCTCTAACTGTGGTCTCATTTTTTGAAATCCTTTCTCTGGTTGGCTTCACCCAGTTGAGGTTTCCCCAGCGTGGAAGGATACTTCACTGCCAGGGCATTTATTTTGTATGCGCCGATCGCATTTTTCTGCCTAATTATGTTTTATTATTATTGACTCGCACCTGGTGCAGGACATTGGGGTTGCCACTGTACAAACCAGATAATGAAGAGGAGATAAATACTTCTGTTACGTCCTGAGGTGGATTGAATAGATGGAGCTAAGAAGGTGCCGGGGGGGGGGGCTAGCCAGCCGTTAAGATGCTAACCAGCTTCCTGTTGTGATCAGGCAGACGTTGTCATCGTTTTTCCCCATCCGCCAGTCCTGGATTCTGTTTTTATACAGATTGCCCACTGTATGATCAGCCTTGTACAGTAGGTACTTGGAGATGGGAGATATTGTTGTCTAGGTGATGCTGAATGCAGAGCTTTGATGTTGGACGATGTGGACAAGTAGTATTTAGATCGTCCTTTTTGATACTGCAAACCACCTTCTAATATAAATGGAGCCTGGAATATATTGCCATAAAATCAGTAATGCTTACATATACATATATGAAATTTGATATAATAATACACTATATGAGCATCCTCATCCTGCTCTCACTGGTTACCGACCTGCATCGTCTTAACAGCAGCCATATTATCACAGACTTTCACGTTGACAGTCTCTTCTTTGAAGTAGGTTAGCAAGATTTTCATAAATGCAATCAAGGTCACATGCTTTGCCGCTCCCTCCCCTTTCCGAACACGCATGGCAGGTTTTATTCCCGTCACTCTGACTTTATAGTGACAGGTGTCCCCGTGGCTGGGACACGTGTGCTCATCCCCCTCTGGACTGATTGTGTTTGCGGTGGTTTCCATAGAGCTGCCAGGTAATAATCAAACATGCTGGTACGTTAACTTGAGCGACGAGGGCTTTAGACTTTGGAGTAGCAATCATAGCGAATTACACCCAGCTCTTCATCAGTAGGAGCAGGACTGAGGGAATTAATTCTAATGAAATGTCACATTTGGAGATGGTCAGACACTAAGACACTACATACACACTGCCTGGAGAATTCTGGGGAAACAAAATGCTCTTTACCCAACACCGTGACGCTGTATATGATGAATGCTATTTATGGCATCCTTTATGTTATTTTATTACTGATAGACTGTCATCTCAAGTTTTAGTTGAGTCATGCTCAGATCACTTATGTGAGATATTTTCATAAACCTAACTCCAGTATTGTTGAAGAATTTTCCTTGTTCTAAATAATACAAGCTTACCTGTATGTTTAATGGGCTCATTACATCACAGACCATGTGAGGTGAGCTGTTCCTGTACATCAGGCTTCTCAAAAGGATAAGAAATATTGGCACCATACGTTTCCTTAGAGCTTCTGTTAAGATTATTGTTAAGGTCCTTTAGTGATTCTGTGCATGGGTGTGCATGAATGCATACATGCGTGCTTGTACGGTTTCATGTGAGTGTTTGCTTGTGTCAGATTAGTTCTTCATGACTGGCATTCTGAATTGACTGCCCCCCCCCCCCATTAATGGTAAAGTATCCATGGCAATCTCGCCATTTGGATGCTGAAATGACACAAGAGAGTCTCAGTTAATGAAATTTCTATACAGAAGAAAGCAGCAGTCATTTAAGGCTGTAGGATATGATGATAAATGAGTAGTTGTCACTATGCATCTGGCAGATTGGCTCACACAGACACTTTTTGGGCAGCACCCTTTGCTGCATTGCTTACCACTTTCTGTACAGCTCCAGTGGGCTGTGAACAGGCAGGTATATCACTGCTGACTCGCAACAGCTGCTCAAACATCAACATTCATCCTATTTACCCATGCCTTCATATAAAAAAAAAAATGTTATAAATAAATCAATAAAGCATAAATCCTAACAAGACTGTTTATTTGATCGAAATAGCACCGTTAGGGGAGTTGGAGCAAAAGCAGAACGTCCAGTGTCCGTTTTTAAGGTAATGTTTAAATGGTTTAAGTCGTATTACTGGTCCAGCACCTCCTTCCATTTCTTCTACATCAGTGTTTCTCAAGCCACTCCTTGGGGACCCGCAAACAGTCCATGTTTTTACTCCCTGAAACACTCCCCTTCATGAAGGTAAGGTCCAGTGAAGACCTGATACTCAGATTGTGATGTCGTCCATCACCCCCATGTAGGACGAGTATAAGCCGGAGAAGGCCCTGTCCGAGGAGGACCTAAAGAACGCCATCAGCGTGCACCACGCCCTGGCCCTGAAGGCCATGGACTATGAGAAGAAGCCCAATGTCTTCAAGCTGAAGACGGCCGACTGGAGGGTCTTCCTCTTCCAGGCGCAGTGAGTAGCTCTCGGGGAGGCCCAGGCCATGCCGTCGCTGGGAGTGTGCGCACGCAGGCGTGGCGGGGGAAATAAGGGACCATTCTCTGGATGAAATCTAATTTCATGCTCCGATTCAAGCACAATGAAAGCACATTTATCTCTGGCATTAGTCTGTCCGGAGTTCATTGTTTCTCAGGGCGGCCTGGATAAAGCAATAAGGCTCCTTATCCGTAGCCGAGGCCGGGGATCTCACGAGTCACGTCTTTTCCCCAAACGTAAACCGGGACTTGGGTCGTCTGAATGTCTCGCCTCTGCTGGGTTTAATCATTTTAATTTTTAACATTTCCAACCTCATTTTGCATAGTTCTCATTTTCGTTTGGTGATGTTTATTTTAGTTATAACACATTATGGTTTGTATCATCATCCAGTTATGTATAATTAAATTGAACTGGGGGGGAGGAGTCGGGGTACAAGTAAAATATGTTTTCTTATGACCATCTGGGCGTATTAAGCCGCAGCGTGTCTCCTTTACAAACGACCGGTCTTTCAGGAGCCCCGAGGAGATGGACTCCTGGATCAGGAAGATCAACTCTGTGGCAGCCGTCTTCTCTGCACCCTCCTTCCCGGCAGCCATTGGCTCCCAGAGGAAGTTCAGCCGCCCCCTGCTGCCTGCAACCACCACGCGCATGTCACAGGTGAGGCCGTGGCCCGCCCTGCCTGATTATACATGCAAGTTTGGTTGTTTGAAAATGGTGTGTGTGTCCGCGCGTGTTTTTGACAGTTATCTTCGTTTTATTTGTTGAAGGTTGGCTGAGATTTTTATATTGTTGACAAGCACTTTTTTACAAACTGACGTACACGTTTGAACACAATTCTTTTTGTTTCATCTTTAAATGACTGTTCTTTACTTTACAAGTTACGTTTATTTCTCATTAATGTTCGCAAAGTGCTTACGAAAAGATTGTTGTTGGAAAAGCATTGGCGATTTCTTCCCCTTCCAGGAGGAGCAGCTGAAATCCCATGAGGCTAAGCTGAAGCATGTCTCCACGGAGCTTGCCGAGCACAAATCCTACCCCCCAGATAAGAAGGTCAAAGCCAAGGAGGTTGATGAGTACCGACTTAAAGAGCACTACCTGGAGTTTGAGGTGAGCTCATCTCTCACGTGCTGGTGCGGCCGTCCTGCTGTTATCCGCACTGTCACGCTCTTTACCGTGTTCGTACCGCTAGCTCCATTCCTTAAGGCCGATAGCTGACGTGCCTTAGGAGAGCAGCATTCATGGAAGAAAAATGTTTAATGCTGTCTTAGACGTAACATGGAGAGGTTTGATGTTAGTTAGCTCAGATTATTACTACTCAGAAATACTCTGCTAGTTAGTGTCAAAATACGAAAATACGAAGGTTTGTTGGTTAGCCACTCATTCAGGGCTTGTTTCAACCATTTAAGGGCGATCAAGGGTGTTTTTCCACTCAGAATTTTATTTCAAATTGTGAAGGCACAGCAAGGATGCTTGGACAGCACAGCTAAAACTGAACATAGCTTCATTCCGAGTCAGTCTGAACTGATCCAAAGTCATGACAGTCGTCTGCTCTGTGTCCAAAGGGTCTTTGACAGACCAGGGAGGAAAGAGTGCACACAATAAAGAGGAGGAGGTCCCCTTCATGACAGAATAATGATTACATATTGTGTACATGCCAGTCTACCTTGTCCTTGGGTTCAAGGTTATGCAACTGTGTTTCAATATAGCAATATGTCTGGCAGAAAAATGGGGGCATCCTGGTTGAGTGTTTTATCAAAAGAATTGCACAATTTGGGAGAATCCATCAAGGCTTCTTTTTAGGGAGCCTCTATGAAGGGCATCTCCCTTAGTAAAAATGGAGGTAACTATAAGTAGTGAGTTTAAATTACTAAAGACATGGCCTTAAGAAAAGTGTTACCAAAATGTGTTTATAGACCTTTGCCAATGCCATACTGTAGCACTGATGTTCTGGGTCTAGCAGTGGGCTGACTGATATTGTTAGGCAGGATGCAGACAGATCCATTCTTGTTCACTGCTGGTTCACTTCTGCTGTTTCCTCCTGGGAGAGGTTTTAGGTGTCGTTTAATGTTCGTCCAAATGGCCGCACATGTGCCCAAATAGGATTAAAGGCCTGGGTAATTTTTTTGCCAGAACCGTTACTATTTTTACATCAAGGGCTTACGTTTAGCTGGCATGAGTTTCAAAAGGCGACTCTTGAGGTTAATCCGTCTGCCCGCCGCCGTTAGCGCCGTTTGTCGGAGGGAATTAATGCGCTCAGGACTGTAGTCTGTCTGTCCGTCAGTCATGCCTTTAAGTGGAACAGCATCATTAGCAGATGGTGAACGTGGCATCCGGCTCAACCAGGGCGTTTCCGCGGGCAGCCAGCCCAGTCTGCTGCTCGGCTGCACAAAGACAAAACTGCAGCGACGGGCGTCTCCGACTCGTATTGCGTCCCTGAAAGGGGATTCGGGACACGGATCGCGGGTGGAGTGCGCGAGGTTTCCTAGAGATGGAAAGGGAAGACGATATGGCCAGACACTGACGGCGTGTCCATTAAGAGCCGACATGAGGAATCTTCACTGGACACAACTTCTCCCCAACGTTCAGTCCTGCGGTTTTAATCACTGCCTCTTAGCACTGGAAACCTCCTGAATGTTGCTGACCTAATTTTTCCTTCTAATGTTGCCATTAAAATAATTAGAAGCTTATTGCTCCAACCTAGACGGTGGCAGTTTACTGTCACTTAAACAGAATATGTATGTATCATATCAAAGTATGTTGCCTAATGAGTCTCTGTTTTGAACGTGGGATTAAACATCTCAGGACTGTGGGAGGCAGGTTGTGATGCAGGTTAATGTTTTTCCAGCTGGAGTGAGAAAGTATTTCTGTATTTTTCAACAAAACAATGCCCATGAAAGGAACGGAAACAGGATTAGACTTTCAGAGACCAGAAGATGTGTGAGACATTTTGGGCAGGGAATGGTGGATGTTTTATGTAACTGGAGAGAGATTCTCTCGCCGTGGGCAAACATCTTTCTAATAATGATGCCTGTTTGATCATGCAGCCTTCAGTCATGCATTTTGAGCTTTTTGCAAAAAAGGGCCCCACCTCTCTGCCTGCATGACGATCTAGAGATTAAAGAAGGAGGAGGAGTTGATGTTGTTGCTGCTTTTGATGTTGTAATTGTTGCGATTTGCTCTTTGTGGACCAGCATCCCACCCATCCATGGTGTTCCCTGTGAACTCTGGGATTCAGGATCTCCACCACCCTGCACTGCAAAAGGATATAATGACTGAATGACCATTGTCTTGCATGTAAAAAAAAAAAACCAAAAACATATGGTGGATATAAAAATTAATTAATAATAATTAGCAAACATGCACAAAATCTTTGCATTATGTATGATATGCAGTGGAAGTTCAGTCTCAAGTTTAAGTAACAAAATTTTCTTAAACTTTGGTGGTTTTGAGAAGGAAGTCAATTATTGTTCATGCCATATTACCACTGAGTGATTAACAACAGTCCTGTAATCGATTGATACCCTCTGGTTTCACTTCCTCTGTTTACAGACTTATAATATATCTGCTGCAAAGTCTCATTTTCTAGAAAAGGTGCTCTTCTGCGATAAGCGCCGACTCTTTGTTAAAATGTTCCCTTGCCCATCAGAATCGGCATCCTCTTATGAAAGAATAGCAATGCTTTGATCAGATAGCATGAGATTTATCTCTCTACCTTACTCATTTCAGCACAGAGCTCTGCAAGTACAGAGTAATCAACACGTTGGACCCTTTCAGTTTATTCTTTAAACAGAACATTTCTGTTTCACCTGATTCATTGATTGTTTTTTCCCTAGTTTTGTTTTTGGTTTGTTTTTACCTATTTTAAGCTGTTGTCCACTGAGCAATGTACAGGTGTCCTTGCTTGATTTTTTTTATGTGCATTTATTCAGTTATCTCAGTTACAGAAGTCAGACTCTGTGCCATTCTGCATATTTTGGCTGACACCCACACATTTTAAACTTGCTGATCGAGCGAATGTAACACGCTTCACACACGTCAGTGTGTCTGCTGAACATCCACTGCACATCCAGATGAGCGGCACTGTTTCCACGGCTACAGCTCCCCCCCACATCCAGTGGAAAGCTACCAGCCTGGTTCTGCCTGCCACAACGTGCCGTACGGATCATACCGCCCCATCTGTGCATGAGACTCATAAAATAATTCCCATTCTTCGTCAACGCATTGTTCATTCATTTTTTTGTGTTACTGGGGGAGACAAAAACATGACATTTCAATCAGGGCTCAGAAATAGTTTCAATATCATTCAGTTGAGCAAACGGCCATTGATTAATAATGCATAAGGATTTTACAGCCATTAAAGTGTTTACAGTAGAGACGTTTACTTAAGGACAGGCACGAAACAGACGGCAGCGTTAGTGTAGCCAGGCGTTCATTGGCAGAAATTTCAAATGGTAACGCTGTCGTCTTTCTTCAAAAGGAGAACCGGTACAACATGTACGTGAAGCTCCTGAAGGAGGGGGTGAAGGACCTGCTGTCTGGGAAGGAGGCCGAAGCTGGGCTGAAGAAGTCGCAGTCGAGCCCGTCGCTGAACCAGGAGTCGCAGCCGGCTGTGGCCAAGGTGAAGCGGAATATCTCAGAGAGGAAGGACTACCGGCCCGAGGCCCCCAAGGTCACATAGGAAGGACCCGCCGGCTGGAGACGGCTGCCCCGGCGCCGCCTGTGAATACATCCTGTGTAATTTATTTATCGGCCCACTGTTGTACTGAAGACAGTTGTGTAAAATGTAAATGATAACCGCCTCTCCCTAGACTGACTGGTGCTTGTGTAGCATTTTGTATGGAACATCATCCGTACGTATGTGGTCTTTTTATTTCAAGATCGTTGAGTTTGCTGTCGGTGCTCCTGTTTGAGGCGTGACATTTTTTTGAAAAAAATTTTGTGATGCATTTTGTTCTCTGTTTCGCTGTATCGTCCAGTCAGATTTCCAGCTGTTTTTTTCCACCATTGAGTCAAGAGGAAGGTTATCTCCAATTTAGGGGAAGATTCTTGACCAACCTCTATACATAAATATAAAAAACAGATCACAAATTTAACCTGATATTTTAATATGTAGATTTAAGTGTGGTGGTTGCATTTAATTTAATTCATGATTTAACTGTACAAATTTAAAGACACACAGGCCTCTAACGGCAACAGTGTCTCCCTGTTGGTTTTCATTTTCCTTTTCCCCAACTTTCCTTCATTTTATGTGTATAGTGATTTGCATCACAATGTAAATATTGAGGTGTGATGCATCACTCAGTAGAGAGTTTTGTGTTCGGAGATGAAGTCCTTTGCATCTTGCATAAAACACATTAAAAAAGTAAATCGAGAGCCTCCTGTAACAATTCATTAAATTGTAAAATTGCATGTTAAAGTAGTTGAGCACCATACTGAGACTAAATATAATTTTGTATTATCAATAAGGGATATTTTCATATCTGTCAGTCAGTATAGTGTTGATATCAGTTACACCTACAGTACACTCCCTTTGATGTCTTCAGACTGCAGTATGTCATTGATGTACACTTAGGAAACCATAGTCTCTCTAGCTGAGACATTTATTTTTTATCCATTTACAGCAAAGGATATATTTATGCTTTTTAAGTAGTGTAAATGCCAATGCTCCTTTTTTGTCTTTTATAACCTTCTTATGTATTTCGAGTTTAAATTCTAATTTGATAACTGTATTGTTGTAAAGATCTAATTGGTGTTTATAGTGCACTTTATAAATGAGTTCTTTTGAATTTTTCAAAGAGCTTTAAGGAGTAGAATGATACATTTCTTTACTGACATCACAGGTTTTTCCAGGCAGAAATTAACTTTTATTTTATTGAAGGTACTGAGCTGAATGTACTTTTCGATCAGCTCAACTCGAAATGTCTTTGTTTTCAGTGGTTCGATAGTTTTGCTGTTGTAGTTTGTTTATTGACAAAGTTTCCTTTGAGGAAACTATTCACAGTGCTGTAACATTTAAAGTTGCAATTATTGCCTTTACTGATGCTGTTATTGAATTATAACGTCGCTCAGCGACATTCCTGGCGCTGGAAAATTATGTGCGTTTTGGGACAATATTCTTCCATTGGACCGTTCCAGAATATTTTCCTTTTTAATTTGTTATTTTTCTTCATTTCAGACATTTTGAACAAAACATATGTTTACACATATTTTGATACATTTTTTCAGATTTTCAATACACCGGTCAACATGCAAACATTATTTTCACTTCTGTCTGTAATTTGTTTCCAAAGTTTTTTTTTTTTTCCCCCCCTTTTGCTTGCTTTAGTATATTATTCTTCGTGTCTCAGATTTATTGGCACTATGACTTATGGAGTATTATTACTTATGGTGAAGTAATGATGATGCTTTGTTTTAATTTGCAGTAGAAAAAACTGTTCAATCCTAGGGGTACAATGTTTAAAGGTTCGACATCTTTGGAACGAATGTCGTGAATCCAGATGCCCCATTCTGTAAATTGAAGATTTCATTCGAATTACAATTTGGGCGTCTCACATGAGGCCTGCTCCACAAATCCATGTTTTATGTTATGGAAGGTGTATAGAAGTGCTCAGTTTTACGCCTTTGACACATGCCCAAAACGATCAGAGGTCTCAATCATCTTATTCATTTTGCTCTTTAAGCACACTAATGCAAAATGAGCCCCTCATGAATGAGCCAGTTTGTAAATTATGATATTGCAATAGTGTTGCATTGGTACATTTGACACATTGATATATTATGTGTTGTTGATTGTACAGGTACATTTCAGCAAGCTGTTTCTTTTCTTTGATGTATAAAGGATTTATGTGGATGAATTGCTTGTTTGTGGCACATTTCTTTAATATAAATACAATGTAGCTTGTTGATAGAGTGAATCCGGTCTTTATTAGTCATTAGGTTGCATTATTTAAAAATTGAAATGTAATTTTGATGGTAACGTCCTCTCTCTCACTTCTGTTATCCACAGTCAAGTTTTTTTTTTTTTTTATGTGCAGCCATAAGGAAGCAATCAGACCTCATATAAACAATTAACTTTCAAGCAGTTTTGCTATTTATCAGATCTTTGAAGCGTTTTCTCTCATTTTGCAAAAAAAAAAAAAAAGTCAGTATAATTTAATGCTGTTCTTCACAAGTATTCTTTATACGGGTTACAATTTGTGATCAACTTGGAGGGATGTTTCCATTCGAATGTCTCTCAAAAACAGAAGAGATGGTGCCAGCTTAATTGCTGTTAATCACAAAGAAACACCAATCATCTTATTTCCATGGGACAGACGACAGGGAGCAACTGAAGCTACAGGTGCTCTGGAATCTAAATGTTCTGCGATGGACTGTAATGTACCTTAGCATCTGAACGTAAGCATCAAAGTTTCTCTCAATGCTGTGATCCTGTACAATCCTTTAACTGTGTAAATGTTAACTATAACTGTCGCCCTGTGTTTCAAGAGGCAGAGGATCGCATTGTTGGTCGCTCAAGTGATTTAACCTGCTCATAGCGTGTCTTAAGCTCTCACGCCGGCAATACGTCGTTGGTGGTATACAAGCTGTAGATGGATTCAACAAATAAAATAATGTATTTAATTGAATGATTTTTTTCTTTATTTCTAACGTCAAAGGCCTGGGATTCATGTTGGTTTGATTTTCTGACATAAAACGGCTTCATGATCAAAATGGGGCAACACTGACATGGATCGGACTCATAGGTCCAACACATATCCAGCCATCCACGTGATGCAACAGAAAACAGGATTCATTAATCCAGGTGACTTCCTTCTGTTGCTCCAAGGTCCAGTTGCGTGCCCATTGTAGGCACTTTCAACAGTGGGCAGGAGTCAACGTGGGCACTCTGACCTCAGTAGCGCCATACACAGCAGGGCTCAATTCCACTGTCGTGACACATTGCTCCTGTGATTATCATCAATATCAGCTCGTGGTTGTTTACCTCCTCAGACCACTCTTACTCTCAGTACTCACACAATGGTATCATACAATAAAACCTTTCAGTCTTATATCTATTATTCTGTGTCTGGTTTTCTCCCGTAAATTGTTCAGCTGCATGAACATGTAGAATCGCAAGTTCTTTAAAATAAAATTGCCTAAATCACAAAATATATTTTGCCATGCGACATGAGCTGCTGTTAACTGTCAGAAAAAGTCATAAATCTTTGAAGCCTGTTCTGGTTTAAGTCCTCCCTGACAGGTATCCATGGTGACAGATGAAACAGCGTCCAGTGTCGTGACACAGGGCTCAGTGCACATCTCAGTGTGCATAAATACCTCATGGTATTATCATCGCATAGTAATGGATTTTCACTTTCAGACTGTTCTTGAAGATGAGGAGTGGAAAGTTTGCTTTTCTGTCCAGGTATTTAATGCAAACTGAAAACCAAAAGGGACGTGTTAAACACTCAAACTAATGCATTGTAATTGTCTATTGTCTATTTTAGCTGGGAGGGAGTAAAAATGTCCTGGGGTCCCCAAGGAACGGATTGGGAAACACCGGTCTATTGTATACTAATCAAATAAGGGCAGGTAGATGGGGGTTACACCATACATGGTGGCCAAAACATTTCAGGTTTAGGCTCATTTAAAATAATTTAGTTGTGTATCTGAAATCTCAATTTGCTCAATCTTGCCATCAGACATGCATTATAAACACTGACAGAAGTGGTGATGTATTTGCAAATCCTAAATATATACATCTCTGAGCTGCTGGGTACTCAAAACGTCCGTCTGTGTTTGAATAAAAGCTTTAATGCCAGTAACGGATTCAAATGTCAAACATAATGTTCTCCGATAATTGCCGCGACGTCATTTTGTGGCTCTGATTTTGCTTGGATTGAAAGGAACCCTCACGGTAGCCTTCATTTCGGCACATAATATATAATACCTCCAGCAAAACTACAATGTGAAGAATGTATGCCAAAGCCATTGGCCAAATGGTCCAACCGAAGAGATGTGGAAGGGATGACTTACAGATGGAGTAAGTGAGTAACTGAGGCACCAGACCCAGCTAGTGCATTACTCTGCCGATTGACGGTCATTCTATCAGTGAGGGAACAGCAGATGTGCTGTAAGGGGTTCTATGCTGGAGACCTAAACAAACAGTCAACACTGAATTGGATCAGAACAAATTTTACTGTGTGTACTTTCAGCTACTGCATATTCTCCTATAACTACATAGTAGCATTCCTAAAATTAGTGCTATAAAAACAACACGGATTATGGGGAAAATAAGGCTGGGGCCAGAAGTTAAATCAGAACCAGGGGAGGGGGAGCTGAATAAGTCACTCTGTACATTCGTTTATTAGTTATCCTAGGTGTTTATGAACACAGTCTGATGCAGTATGTTGAGTTTTTGACGTTATGTTACAATTTTAAAGCAATACAAAATACAAGTCAATGAAACTTAGAAATGCATCAATACGACATCACAACAAGTTATATTCCGGTTTTGTTATTGTCCCCAGAAAATGCATTAAAATGTCAAGTTGTTCACAAATTGCTCCTTACACACGTCTCACCTCGAGTAGCTAGTAAGTGAAGTTTTGGCAGAAGAACGGTAAGCAAAATAAGTCAAAATACGACGACACGGGACAGAAATCAAGACATCATGTAGGAATTTCTCATCTACTCAAGAAATGAATGTCTGGTCAGCGCTACTAATGAAAATTAACATCAAAGCTGATATAAAATATGATTTTAGCGCAAAACATGCCCTTATTAAACCTTGCAGATAGACATGGCTGACCCAAGCAAAATTATGTGTATATATATTAACTTTGCTGTAGCCCCCACTTGTGTTATTATTATGAGCTGACACCAAAGTTAGGATAAAAGTGGTTCCACACAAAACTGGGCAAATGTAGCGATTTCAGCATGTACTTGTGTTTTGGACCCGGGGTTTGCGACGGAGGAAGATGCTGTGTGGAGGAGGAGCAGGAGGAGATAATGGGCTGTGTACTGGAGTCCTGAAGGAGGTGCGCTGATGGATTGTAAGTGGAGACATTTGGCAGAGGTAGAGCTGGGAAGGAGAGAAGGGAGGGTGACCTCATCAATCAAGTGTTCCTGAAAACAGAAAGTAACAAGGACAGGTAAATCCAGGTAAATACTTCACTTTAAATTAGCTTCTTTTCATACTGAAGATTAGAAAGGGGCCACAATACAAGTTAAAATTTGGTTCCCTCCATCCCCACGGTGATGACATTTATAGCTATGAACGGAGGTTCCCCAGTGTTGCACAGCTAGATTCTTAAAAGAAAAAAAAACTGGTACCACCTCCTAACTTAAAATAATGTCACTTAAAATAATCACATTGCATGTTGGGGTAACAGGTTATTATTGTTGCTGCGATTGTCACTGTTATGCTTTTATTTTTCAGGCACAAATGTCTACCTTTCAAGTCGCCCATTTCTGTAAATGGATTTTTAATGATGCTGCTCAAGTGTGGTAACTCTATGGCGGAACAGTGTGGTTCTTCGAGGGACATGACCTTGTGGGTTTTTGGGAGATCTTCCCAATTATGTAATTAAACCTGCAGTACCATATACAGCCATGGAAAAAAATAAGAGACCACTCTATATTTTTATACAAATCTGCCTTTTTAAATCTGGTTTAATCATGGTTCTGCTGGCAGAAGGCTACGCTACATGGCAGGCTGCTTACAGGCTCAAAGTTTCTAAGACAGCAGTACACAAGAATAAGGTGAAGCAGGATATGCTGGGAATGACCAGAAACCAGCCAGATAGAGGATGGAAGTGCCATTCTAATGCCAGAGATGATCGCTAACTTATCAAATAGTTTCTCATGAGTCATGGGATGACACCAAATGATCTTCAAATGGAATTGGAAACATTAAGTGCAGGTGTGAAGTGCACTGACCAGTAGTACAGGCAGTATCAGGCTCCTAGAAGCAGGACTGATGTCCCTTAAGGCAGTGATTCCCAACCGGGGGTACGCGTACCCC